CCATTTTTTAATGCCTCAAGGTTTAGCAAGACAAGTTTAAACATTTTCTATATTATAAAAATAAACTGTGTTGCATGCTTGTAATTCCAGCACTTGGAAAGCTGAGGCAGGAGGATCACAAGTTCGAGGCTAGCCTGGGCTCCCTAGGGAGACTGTCTCAAAAACAAACAAAATCCAAGCCAGGTGTGGTGGCACATTTCTGTAATCCCAGCACTTGAGAGGCTGAGGCAAGAGGATCACAATTTGGAGGGCACCTTTGGCTACATAGTGAGTTCAAGGCCCACCTGGACTACTAGTGAGATCCTGTCTCAAAAACAAAAACAAAAAACCAAAACCCCAAAACAAACGAAAGCAAAGCAGAAGTAAGTTACGTTTATTGTAGAAAAACTTGAAAAGACAGAGAAGTATGGGGAAAATAAAGGTTTCCAAATCCCAACACCTGAGGGCCACCTGGATAGAGTCTTCTAGATTTTGGTTCTTTACTTATATATTATGTGTATTTATGCCCTTTCAATCATAAAGTTTCCCTTGCCTCAATGCCTTTTTAAAAATTAATCTCCTCACTCATTACGTGGGTGAATGGATCTCCGAGTCCTTAATATTCTCCAATAGGTGACTTTTAACGACACCATAACGTCCCCTCATGTGGAGGGGACATAAGGTGTTTAACCATTTCCCTATTGCCAGGCTTTTCACTGCTTCGAGTTTTGTCCTAGTTTTATAAATAACTCCAGAATGCACATCCTGATTTAAAACTTCCACAGTGTCCTGATGAGTTGGGACCAGGATTTCTTCAAAAGGCATTTTAACAGGAAGCCAAGAAAGGAAGGAAGAAACAAATTGAAAACCTGGAAGGAGACCAAGCAGCCGTGTGGATGAGCTGCCACCATCCTCAGGTGGAAACGCTCTCTCCCCAACACCTGCCTGGCTCCCTTTTTCTCTGCTCAAATGTCACTGCCTCCAGAGCCCTCCCTGTCTGATTTAGAATTGCCCCTGTCACCTGACCCTGTTCTACAGTGCTGTTCCAGCCCACAGCACGCAGCTGCTCACTGCCCCTCGCCCACCTTCTGGCATAATTTATTATTTATCATCTCTACTGTGTCTGTGTTTTGCCTACCAAGGTGGGCATTTTAGTCTCTTTTCTTCCCTGAGTACTGGGGATTGAACTGAGGACCTTCACCCGGGGCTCCATCTTCGGTCCTTTAAAAACTTTTTAATTTTAAGACAGGGTCTTGCTAAATTGCTAAGTTGCCCAAATTACAATCCTCCTGCCTCAGCCTCCTGAGTAGCTGGGATGACAGGTGCGTGCCACCACACTCTGCCACATTTCTGTTGTTTTGAGGCCCCTCGTTTGTGGTACTCTGTTACAGCAGTCCCTGGAATGAATATAATAGTGACCACAGGAAACGCCACAGAAGGAGGAAGGTGGCAATTGGAAGGTGTGACAGTGAGCCGGTTCCAATGTGGGCATCAGGAGGGTGATCCCTTGGGGGTCCCGGAGATGCAGGGCACAGTCCCCAGGGGGTAGCTGATCCACCAGCCCTGCAGGCAGTGGTGGGGCTGGTCCAGGCCCCAGAAAGCACAGAGAGGGCAGAGGGTGTCTGGAAGAACCTGTACCCCCAGAAGCCCCAGGGTTCTCCAAGAAACCCTCTGCGTGTTTGGGGCCGAGCATTCTCTGGGGTGTGGCCGGGTCTGTGTTGAGGGCATGGAGCAGCACCCTTGGCCTCCACCCACCAGGTGGCAGTAGTGTCCACCTCCTCAACCAGTTGTGAGGACCTAAAAAGTCTGCAGTTGCGGGTATGGGTATGCACGCCTCTTCTCCCAGAACTCTGGGAGGCTGAGGCAGGGGGATCACAAGATTAAGCCCAGCCTGGGCAATTTAGACTGCCTCAAAATGAAAAAAAATGGCCAGGGATATAGCTCAGTGTGAAGGTCCTGGGTTCAATCCCTAGTATAACAAAACAAAACAAAACAAAACAAACTGCAGACATGGCCAGCTGCCCCGCAGTGGGGCAGAAATGACCCCTGGTGAGAAGCTTTGCCTGAGATTCACATGACACCAAAATCACCATTTGGACTCCTATCTCGAGGACAATGCTGGGACAAGAGGGCCTGGGAAATCCTGGCAGTCCACATGGAATTAATGACAGCTGCTGCAGGGTTGGGTCGGGAAGCAATGGAGACCCTCAGCTCATGGTGATGAAAACCCAGGGCCAGGCCCCGCCTCAAGGCCTGTGTGTCCACCTTACTCAGTCCCCGTGCCCTGGGACGTGAGATCGTGCTTCTCCCCATTCTGCACTTAGAGAAGCCAAGGCTAGCTTTGGCCAACTGGGTGTAACCCTTGGCCCAGGCTACCTTCAGAACACCACGTTCCTTCCCTATATCATTTACGTCTATTGATAAGTTATCACAATAACCACAGACATCTAAGTTGTCTAGGGTACACACAGTGGTCTTGAGACGAAGTGATTTGTGAAGTGCCTGACATGCCCAACTGTCCATGGTGGTTCTTTTTGCTGCCCACTCCCAAGCTGCACCCTAAAATCGGCGACTGATCAAAAGGATGGGTTCTTGCAATCTGCCTCCACTCCCAAGGTGGGAAATCCCTTAAGGGGCAGGCCCTGAGGCCTGAGGGAGAGTTCAGCCAGTCATTGCTTCCTCAGAGGCCACATCCTGGCCCAAGGGAGCAAAACGCAAGCTGGAAGTTTCATCCCTAGAGTGGGTGGAGAGGAGGGAGAGTGAGGGTGCTGTGCAGAGTGCAGGGGGGGTTGAAATCCATGTCCCTAAATCCCTAGCAAAACTGCAAATGCTTTCCCACACAGCTGTGCCGGTGTTTTCTGGTCTTTGAGTTCCTGATGACGGTCATTCTTTCTGAAGGAGAATCTAGTGTTTTGATTTGCTAGGACACTTTCTACACTGTTGCTGGGAGTATCAACTGGTACAACCACTATAGAAATCAGTATGGAGAAAATAATTTAAAGAGCAAAACAAAAGACAGATGATAGGAAACAGGGAGGTTGACTGTTGAGATGGGAAGTGGATCTGGGGATGGAGGAAGATTGAAGGAGGAGAAGGGAAAGAGAAGTAAGAAGGATTGAGATGTCATATGTATATGCAAGTCCTCAACACAAATTATTATGTATTGCAAATGTATACTAATAAAAATAAACTAAAAACAGTTACAAATGCATTTACTCTTTGCACAGGGTAAATTTACTCTTTGCACTTCTAGAAATAAACACCTCACTCCAGCTATCTCTGCAGAAACAGGAGAAAGCACAGTGCAACACTGCGCACAGCAGCATGGTTTTCGATACCAGTGGCCGGGAAGGCACCCCAATGTTTCCCTCAGGGCCTGGGGTACACGAACCCCAAGAAGATATACAGTGGAGTATGATGTTTCCATGACAAAGCATGAGAAAACTGCCCATGTCCCGTGATGGAGAGAGCGCTAAACCATGTTGTTAGCACAGCAACAAAATCCCAGACTTGGAAGGCACATATAGGGTGGGACTGGTGTGAGGGAGCAGGCGGAGGCTATTCCCAAGTCTTCTGTATCTGTGGGTCATTGAACTGAACATGTCTAGACTGTTTTCTCACCATGATTCCCTAAACACCACCCTAAGCAGCTACTTCCACAGCATGTGACTGCGTCAGGTATTACAATCACCTACAGATGACTTAAACAACACAGGAAGATTTGCAAAGACAAACATCATGGTTTCTCCCTGATACGTGGAATCTAAAAAAGATAACATGAAAGGAGGAGACAATCATTAGATGAGAGGAAGGGAATAAGCGGGAAGGAGGGGGTAGAGGTCAGGTAATGGGGGGGACAGATGCGATAAAGTGTATTAGGCACATTGAGCCCTGCAATGTGAAGTGGGGGAAGGGCGGAGCAAGTGGGGCCGTGGATGGGGAGATGGTCAAAGTGTGTTATGTGGGTGCACAGATCGACCAAATGGCAGCCCACTCATCTGGGTAACCAGCTTGCACTAGTATGAAAGATGGGATGGAGGCTGAGGCAGGAGGATTGCAAGTTCCAGCCCACTTAGGGAATAATAAGTTAGCAAGGCCCCATCAGGGGTCAATCAACAGTACTGCGGGGGCGGGGGGAGAACAGAGGAGAATGTGCATATGTTCTATGCAAACACAGCACTGCTTTACATAAGACTCGAGCCTTTGTGGGTTTTGGTGAGTGGGGGACCTGTGAACAGTCCCCTGTGGATACCGACGGACAACTGTATTTGCATAAATAAATGATGGAGGGTTTGCCCAGGAGCAAATGAGATTGTGAAAAAAAGGGGCAGGGACAGCACAGGGGCACAGGGGTAGGGACAAGCAGACAGAGGCTGCATCCTGAGTGCAGACATCCAGAAGCTACTGAACAGAACGTGCTTTATAAGCACCCCCTTTCCGAGTGCACCTTCTGACCACTGGGAAGGTCGGGGTGAGCTCAGTCTTGCCTTGGGCTGCCTGCCCACCCTCTCCACCTGTCCCTGCAGCACCATCCCTGCAGACCCGCAGACAGCCCAGCCCCAACTTAGCTGTGTGGAGCCCCCACCCCAGCCATGGCCTCGCTGGGGAATAAACAGATCCAAGGGAGAACCACAGGGAAGTGCAGAGCTCGGGATTGGACATGAGATCCCAGCTCCTGGAACTTTTTTGTATGTGTGCCAGGATCGAACTCAGGACCTTGCACTTGCCAGGCAGGTGGCGGAACCACTGAGCTAAATCTCCGGCCCCATGGAACTTTTGACTACAGACGCGTCCCTCAGTCCAGGGACTTTACCCTTATGGGACCATCCAGAGCACAAAGATCTCTCTCTTATCTGTGCTGGGTTTGGTCTTGCACCATCTTTAGGGATAGAAAATAACATTCAGACATTTGCACAATGAGCAATCCCACAGCGAGTGGCCCGGCGCTCCTTCCCCAGGGGTAGAGCCGCTGTGAGCCCCTACCCACTTCCGGGCATCCTGCCCATCCAGGCGGCACTCACATTGTAGAGGAGATCAGTCCAGCCTTCCATGGTGATGCACTGAAAGACGGTCAGCACGGCGAACAGGATGTTGTCGAACTGAGTGATCCCGTTGTTGGGCCCTTCCCAGTACGGCTGGCATTTGGTCCCGTTGGGACAGGTGCGGGCGGGTTCCTCTGTCCCGCATGGAGCTGGGGACTCACCCTGGATGTCATCTATGAAAGGGAAGGGGAGAGAAGTCAGCAGAAGCAGCTGAGAAACAGGGTCTCATGAGGACCTAATGCTGGTGGAAAAAGATGGCTACTGGGATCAGTTTATCCATCTTTCTTTTAAAAAAATATTTATTTGAGACAGTATCTTACTATGTAGTTCAGGCTGGTCTTGAACTCACTATGTAGCCCAGGCTGGCCTCGAACTTGTGGTGATCCTCCTGCCTCAGCCTCCTGAGTGTTGGGACTACAGGTGTGGGCCACCACGCCTGCACTTACTTATTTTTGAGACAGGGTCTTGCTATGTAATTCAGGCTGGCCCTGAACTCATGGAGATCCTCCTGCCTCATCCTCCCCAGTGCTGAGATCACACGTGTACACCACTACACCTGGCTTTTTTTTCTTTTTCATGACCAATGTCTGCTTTTGTTGATCTATTCATTGTTTTCTACTTTGATCATTTCTTCCCTAGGCTTGTCTTGTTTTCTGTGGGCTTGTTGTGCTGTTCTTTTTCTTAAACTGCTGAGATGAATTAATTTGAAGGCTATAAATTGCCTATGAAGTGCAGTTTTAGCTGCCTCTCACATATGTCTCAGGTGTCATTAACATTTTTACTATTGCTTCTTTGACCCACGAGAAATGTTTCTTTTTTAAGAAACTTGCCGTATCTATATATAAGGCGCTGGGGAGGGAGAGACAAAGAACCATGAATTCCTCTGCACACATCACCAATTTCAACACTGAGGAGCCCTGAGCCAATCTCAGCCATATCCCTTCTGCACACTTTGCCTCAACCACTAGAATTTTCTTCTTCTTCTTTTTGTGGAGACAGAGTCTTGCTAAGTCACTAAGTTGCAATCCTCCTGCCTCAGCCTCCCAAACTACTGGGATGGGACACTCGGCCTGCAACATCACATCCGGCTTCATTAGAATTTTTTTTTTTTATGGTACCGGGGATCGAACTCGGGTCCTTGTGCTTGCGCAGCAGGCGGCGAAACCACTGAGCTAAATCCCTGACCCAGCTTCATTAGAATTTTAATGTGACTCAAAGAGGGCGCATCCCTTCATCCACACCCAGGACCCGTGGCTCTCGGGTTCCAAATGCTCTCGGCGCCTTCTTTCTGTCACTGCTCCCAGTCTCCTTGCACTGTGGGCAGAAACATGCTTTGCATTTTCCCTTCTTTGATCTCCGAGGGGAGGAGCTGGAGGTCCGCAAGGCAGCCACTGGGGCAAGTTCACCAACTGAGCCTGTGATTCTCCTCCAGCCTCACTTCCTGACTTGCGCAGCACTCGGGGAGCTGTTCCGGGGCCGGGGCGGGGCCTACCAGCACACCCAGCCCCTACCCTTGCCCAAGGCTCAGGGACCAGAGCCTTCTCAAACAGCAGAAGGCAGGTTGTGCAAATGCCAGGAGAGAGCAACGTGCCAGTGGACACCTCTTTTGCTGGGACCCAAAGCCAGCTTCCTGGAGAGGCAGCAGCCGGGCTGGCCGTGAAAGGTCAGGTCCCAGGCCAAGGTGTTGGTGGGCAGGGGAGCCGGGCACCGAGCTCTCACAGCCCAGGAGGGGCCTGCTGGGCCTGAGTCCCGGACTGCAGAGGGCTCTGCACAGTGAATGACCTTTTCTTTTCTCTTTTTTTTCTATCTTTCCTTTTTTCCCCTTCCTTTTCCTTCCCTTCCTCCTTCCCTTTCTTCCTCTTCACAGTAGCGAGAACTGAACCTAAGACTTTTGCACTGAGCTCACCCCCAGCCTTTATTATTATTTTGAGACAGGGTCTCCCTAAGTCATCAAAGTTGCCCAGGTTGGGCTCCAACTTCTGATCCCCCTGCCTCAGCCTCCCACAGTGCTGGGATGACAGGCCTAGGCCATTACACTGGCTCTTAGCGACACTTTGGAAAGTTTAAAACAGAAAAGACAAAAACAAGAGTGACATGTCCAACAAGACAACAAACTGCTGAATGTGAAAATCAAGCTTCCTACTCAGCAAAAGTATATCTCAACGTATGTGCGAGAGACTTAATGCCAATTCCCAAACTCAACTGGAGAGGGAGACCCAGCCGGAAGGAGTCTTGCTTGTCTGAGGCCCTAGCCCACCCTGGGTTTGGACTGCTGGAAGCGCCTTCCCCATGGACAGTGGGATTCCGCTGACACACACAGGTGGGACACAAAACACGGGGCTCAGAGCAGGCCAAGAAGTAATACACGCTCCTGTTATGACGCTGTTGACTGCAAGGCTGCTCTGTCTGGAACCTTCTGTCTTCATCTGGGTCCGATCTGACTCTGCCCCTGTGTCTGTGTAGCAGTTCTGTGTGGGCCAGTTACTCCAAGTCTCCCTGTCCTCAGGCCCCCGGCAGCCCAGACCAGGTCCTATTTGGGGGTGGGGTGCGGATTCCAGATAGCTGCCAGGGAGGCAGGCAGGGGGTCTCCTTCTTCCAAGGCTGGAGGCTCCTGAGAACAGGAAGCTTCCTACTTGTCTTGGCGTTGCTCAGCTGTTTAGGACGGCGCTGGGTGCACAGGAACTGGGCCTCAATGCCAAGGAGTAAAGCTGAGAACAGAGCTATCTTTAGCCGCCAGGCCCAGCGGTGTTTTCGACTGACGCCTGACGCTGGCCCCCCGGCTCCCAGCCCCGAAGCACAAGTGCTCCCGAGATGGTTTCTAGAAGCACAGCCATCCAGAAAGTCGGAGGAATTTGGTTATAAATACATTTTAAAATTAACCCGCTGCCAGGGTGTCTGTATATATCTGTCTCTTACTCACACATCTTGTATTTTTAATTGTGAGCACCTCAGTCATCCTCCTAAATCGAGCCTTCCTACCCTTCAGCAACTACACCCACGTCTGGCCCCGAAACCCCACTCAGACCCAGGCCGGCCCGGCCTCTCCTTCAGTGAATATTGGATGGAAAAACCAAAACCGAACAAGAAAACTTCACAAAAGGCTACAATCCCAGAGTCCCAGTTTTTCCTCTTGAGACTGACATTTCTGAGGGTCGGTGCCTGTCCCTGTCTCTCATTTCTGTCTGGGTGATGAGATCAGGTGCAGGAATAGATCTGCCTCAATTAACACCTTCTTCATTGGGAAAAGAAATAATTAGGACATTCCATATTGAGCAAACGTCACAGGCCCAGGAGAGGAGAAAGGAGGAGCCAAAGAAGAGGACAGAAGGAAGGAAAGAGAGCCAATACCCCAGCCTTCTGGGATAAACCTTCCCCACGGGTTTCCTCTTTGGGAGGTGTGGGGACAGGCCTTTATAGTATTTTTTAAAAAGTGGCACTTGAATTGAACCCAGGGCCTTTGCATTGAGTTACATCCCCAGCCTTTTTTATTTTTATTTTGAGACAGAGTCTCTTCAAATTGCCCAGGCTGGCCTCGAACTTGAGGTCTTCCTGCCTCAGCCTTCCATAGGGTAACTGGGATTACAGGTGTGCGCCACCCTGCCCAGCACGTCTCAGTAAGCTTTGCAGTTCTGCTAGGTGGGGAAGATGGGAGGGCAGCCACTTCTGGACAGAATTGTCTTCCAAGGCTGCCTTTCTGAAGAAGGGGCCCAACCCTCCCTTGCGGGTTTCCCTCTCCCTTCTGTTTGCTCCCTGGGTCAAAGGGTCAGGACCAGTGTGGCCTGTAGCCACCACCCAGGAAGAGCCAGCTGTCCAAACACTGCATTGCCTCTTTTCTGCTCCCATCTGGTTTAGGGCTCCAGGCAATAGGCAGCTGGAGGTTGGAGAGCCAGGGATTGAACTGACAGTACATTCACGGGTGATGCTCAGGGATCAGTGTCCCTGAGCATGGACAGCAGGGACACTGGTCCTTCCAACTACTGCTCCAGGTGTCTCCTGCCAACCCAGAGCTCTGACACCCCCACCCCTATACCCTGGAGGGTTAACTCTGGAGCCAGGACCCTTCCTGTGCTTATGTCTGATTAGGTGGAGTCAGGATCTGGATGGATCTTAGGTTCTGATTGGGCAGAGCCAAGATCCTGATAGATGCTAGGTTCTGATTGGGCAGAGCCAGGGCCCTGCAGGGAGCTGGTTCTGATTGGCTGGGCCAGGCCAGTTGGAGGCCTGCAGGCCCATCCTACAGGGGATCATGAAGGTCCATACTGTGCCCGCTCTTCAATGGGGCAACACAGCGCCACCCACAAAGCAGCAGGCAGGAGGCCCTCCCTCTTTAGGACAGGATAAGGTCCCCAGGAGGAGTCCTATCTGCATCCTGTGTTGATCACTCAGCCCCTGCATTACCTGAGACCAGGAGTGGCCACGTCAAGGTCAGAGAGGTCTTGGGTGGCGCCCAGCTCCCCTGCACTGCTACCAACTGTGTGCCTGGCTGTCTCACCACCACCCCTCATCCTCCCAAAGGGCTTGTTTCCAAAGCACCACCACTCGTCCCCTGAGTAGCCTTGGGGGGCGGCAACTTGACACCATAGCAACCACCAAGATCTGCGGGGCAATGCTTTCTCTGAAGTTTTTTTTCCCTCTCTCAGCTGGAGATGGGATCCTGGGCCTAATGCCTGCCTGGCAGCCTGAGCTGCACCCCAGGGCTTGTCCTGGATACCATGAGGATGAAACCAGCCCCTCTCTGTGATTTCCCCAGAGGGAGGAGATTGGAAAAAAAATATATCATGCTGCTTCGACTTACCTGTCCCCTCTTCAAAGCAGGTGGTATGAAATTTTCCCATATAAAATTCTAACCCTATGATTGCAAAAATAAGGATTGCAAAAAATAGGAGGAGGCCGATCTGCAGCAGAGGGATCATCGCTTTCATGATCGACTTCAGGACGACTTGTAAACCTAGGAGACAGAGAGAGAGAGGTTCCATGCCCCCGTGAGCAAGTGCCCCAAACCTAGCCACCAAGATGCCTTCTGAGGGGCTGGGGATAGGGTGACAGGGAAGAAAGGTGACGGAAGGACTCCTCAGAAGCCAGTTCTTATAATAAGAGGCCAGACATTCCTAGTTTTTGTTTTTGCTTTTTTTCCTGGTACTGGGGATCAAACTCAGGACCTTATGCTTGCAAAGGCAGGTGTGGTGACGCTGAGCTAAATCCCTGGCCCATTCCTAGTTTTTAACAAATCCTTTCCATTACTGGATTAATTTTGCAGGGTTGGGGGGTGGAACCCAGGGCCTCACGCATGCTAGGCAGGCGGCTGATAAAGGCTTCTTAATTTTAAAGTGTTTTAGAAAGATATGTGCAGATGCTGCTCCTTTTGATCACCTTTTGGGCAGGTAAGGGACAGATATCCAGGGTTTTTAGAACCATTTTTCAAGGTGCTGGGCCACTTCCATCCAGGAGAGGGTGCTGTTTCTTATTTATTTTCTCCTGCTAGAGGGGGCATCTTTTTCTAAATACTACAAAGGTGCCCTCCAGCCCCGCTGGAGCCTGCAGAGAACAGCAGCTGACATCCCAGCTGTCCACCTGGAGGAACCAGAGCCCACATCGTCTCAGGGGCTTCTTGCCAGCACCCGCAGAGTTGCCTGCCCGTAGCAGATCACTCCCATTGTACAGAAGCACAAGGCAAGGCTCAGAAAATGCCTGGTTCTGCCCAGGACCCAAGTAATGGCAGGGCTAGGAATTTTTTTTTTTTTGAAACAGGATGTTGCTATGTAGTCCAGGCTGGCCTTGAACTTGCTATATAGCCCAGGCTGGGCTCAAACTCCAGATCTTTCTGCCTCAGCCTCCCTAGTGCTGGGATTATAGGCGTGGGCTACTGCTTCCATCTAAGAGCCAGGATTTGAACTTACTCCACTTGACCTGAAGCCCAGTGTTCTCCCAGGTGTGGATGCTGACTTCTCTGTTTTGAGCAAAAAAGATGGTGGTGAATGAGAAGGTGGGAAATGGTTCCCAAAGGGCAGGGGTGGCATCGGTGCCACCAGTGCGGGAAGGTCTGGTGTAAGGGAGTTTTGTCACCAGTGAGATCAAGCCCTGATCCTAACCTGTTCAGCACCCAGCGCCTCCCACACACCACATGGTGCGTCCCCGCGGGGTGGTGGCTGAACGACGGAGCTTCAGTTTCTTTTAGGAGAGGAAGGGTTTTAAATTGACAACACTGAAATTCTCACCCTGCTTGAAAAGTCCACTGTTCTAAACTCAAGGAGTGTTCATAAAAACCACAGATAGATTTTTCTTTTTACAACCTGCAAGGAGACAGAATGAGACCCCTAATTCCCTTTGCAATGAGGTCAAGAAAGTCCCATTAGTGTGACCACTGGGCCACATCTAGCCAGCCCTCGGTGCTTTGGAGACCAGTCCTGGCACCCTGCTCTGCATACCCAAATCTGCAGATGCTCACGCCCCTTATATAAAATGGCCTAGGATGAGCACAGAGCCCATGTGCCTCCTCTGTAGACTTTCAATCCTCTCTAGATGGATTGTAACACCTAAGACAATGTAAGCTCCAGGTACATAGCTCTGATACTGCACTGTTTAGGGGATAAGATGAGGAAAATGTCTGTGTGTGTGCTGCACAGATGCAGTTGCTTTCCCAAGAATGTTTCTTTTTCTTTTTCTTTTTTTTTTTTTTGAGTCAGAGTCATGCTACATAGTCCAAGCTGGACTTGAACTCACTACATAGCTCAGTCTGGCCTTCAACTTTCGGTGATCCTCCTGCCTCAGCCTCCCAAGTACTGGGATTACAGGAATGGGCCACCACACCCAGCTCCAAGAATGTTTCTGACTCACAGTGGTTAGACTCATGGATGCAGAATCCACAGGGACGGAGTGCTGACTGCATTAGGAAAGTCTAGGAATAGAGTAAGAGTCATACAGGGAGCTTAGGGCTTTGCTTAGTTAAAAAAATTTTTTTTCTTGGTAGTACTGGGGGCCTTCACACTGAGTCCTATCTCCAGCCATTTTAAAATTTTTTGTTTTGAGGTTGGGTCTTGCTAAATCGTTAAATTGCCTAGGTGGGGCTCCAATGTGAGATCCTTCTGCCTCAGCCTTCCAGAGTGCTGGGTTTATAGGCATGCACCACCATGCCAAGTCATAGTAAGTACTTTATAAATCACTGAGTTTTTGGGCCAGGGATTTAGCTCAGTGGTTCCACTGCCTGCCCCGAGTTCGATCCCCAGTACAAAAAAAAATCATTGGGTTTTTTTAATAAATCATTGTTATCATCAAAGTAGGCAGTTGGACAGAGGAAGCCCAGTTGCATTTGCTTTTGCTTTTGTTTTGTTTTCTTCAGTGCTGGAGACTGAATCCCCACACATGCTAGGCAAGCTCTCTGAGCTATGGCCCCAGCCTTTGCATTTAACTGTTGTGGGTGAATCTATACTGAATCCTGACTGAATACTGTGCCCTTGCAGAATGAGAAAGCAGGAAAAGAACAACAAGGATGGGGTTTAGATCTCACTGCTGGCCTCCTGTAGAAATGTGGATGAGTAACAACCTCCAAGAGCCCAGCCTCACATTTGTAAAATGAATATTTATGGGGTGGTATGGTTTATATCTAGAAGGATCCCCAAAAGTCTGGTGTTCAGAAGTGGGGCTTTGGAAGGCGAATGGATGATGGAGCGCTACACCCATCAGGGGACAGATTCATTGATGAGTTCATGGTTGAATGCACTGTTTGGAGGCAGGTCTAGAGATGGGCAGAGCTCTGGGTGTACTTTTCAAGGAAACATCTTCCTCCTTGGCTACCCCCACTCCTGCTTTCTGGCCGCCATGATGTGGGCAGTTTTCCTCCACTCCTCTCTTCCGCCATGCTGTTTCCCCTTTGGAACCAGCCAGCCATGGACTGGACCCCTGAATTATGAGCTTATCAGACCTCTCCTCCTCTAGGTTGTATGTGTGTCCCAGCCCCAGGGGAGCGCACTGCTATACCAGGTGACTGTGAGGTTGCAATAAGCTGACACAGGTGAAGCTCTTTTTGCAGTGCCCAGTGTCCAGCCCGTACTTGACAAACGCAAGGGACAGCATCTGTGTCACTGCCCAAGCTTGGAGTCACAGTTACTAAGTCCTACTTTGACCACTTCTTTCTTTTTTCTTTTTTGTGTTTTTTTTTGAGACAGGGTCTTGCTGTGTAGTCCAGGCTGGTTTGAACTTACTATAGCCCAGGCTGGCCTCAAATTCATGGCAATCCTCCTGCCTCAGCCTCCCGAGTGCTGCCACATTAAAGTGTGTGCTGCCACGTGCAGTCTTTGACCACTTCTTGGCCATACGACCCTGCTCCAATTTTCCAGTCACTCCTGAGCTTTGGTTTCCCCCTTTGTAAAATGGAGATATCAGCACGAGGAGCTACCTCACAGGGCTGCGGCTGCTGCGTGGGATAATGTAAGGTTCAGAGCCTGGTCCTGATGAACAGGAGGTGCTGCCTAAATGGGGGAGTCTCCTACATTGCCTTCAGGAGCTCATCTAGCCCCGCAGCCAAGTTCCTGGGGGACCTAAGGGACCATCCCCAGAGAGGAAGGTGCCTTGACACAGGCTGGGGTCTGCAGAGGGGACCCCGAGCAAAGCCACAGAGGGTTGGCGGAAACTCACGCACTTGGGATTCCTGACACCAACTTGAGCGGTCGCAGCACCCGAACTGCTCGCAGCGTCCGCAGGTCAAACTCCGTCCCAACCGTTGCCAAGATGCTGGAAGAGAAGGGGTAGGATGGGGGCAGAAGGTGGATGTCAGGGTCATGCAGGACTGGGAGAGTCCCATGGCGCCCTTTCCTGGGTGGGTGACCACAGGCAGGTGACTCGACAGCTTTGGGCCATTGTCTGGTCACCTGTCAAGGGGTCTCTGCTGTTCCTGCCACGTGGGATAGAAAATGACTCCCAATGACTCAGAACAGATGTGTGATTGATGCCCTTCACTGTTGCAACAAGAAGGACACTTTCGTCCCTAGGATGAGTGACTGGGCTGACATCCAATGTGTGTCACAGTTAGGATGGATCAGGCCCTTGGGAGGGCTTGAGGCTCTTTTCTAACTGCAGGAAAGCAGACCAATAGCAACAATTAAACCACAGCTCTGTCATTCCGAGCTGGGTGACCCTGGCCAAGTCACGTCTCAGCTCCACACCTCACTTCCCCCTTTTGCACATGACAATATCCACAGCACTAACAGCCCAAAGGCATTTGAGGTTGTCACTGGGAACGTGGCTTGAGCATCCTGTGCCAGGCATATAAGCAGTGTGTCCACTACTCAGAGATAAGTGATAAAACAAACCACAGGTGTGATCCTGCTCCGAGGACCAGCTGGCCTGGAAGAGGACACAGACCCCAAGCTTTGGGTAGAAAGAGTCACTCTCATAAATGTAATGAGTAAGAATCATTCTCATAAATGCAGTGGTGGTGCACGCCTGTCATCCCAGCACTCAGGAAGCTGAGGCAGGAGGATCACCAAGTTCAAGGCCAGCCTGGGCTGCATAGCGAGACCCTGTCTCAAAACAAACAGACAAACAGACAGACAAGACAAAATGATGGCAAGAGGTGAGAGGTCTTCTGTGGAACCCTTCCTCTCCAGGAAGTCCAGGTCCAGAGCCTGGTCTGTCCAAGAGCTTCTGGGGGACCAAGGGCTCCCCCAACACCTAATCCCTGTCCATCTCAGAGGTGGGCAGTGCACAGGGAGCTGTGCAGGCAGAAAGCAATAGAAGGGGCTCCCATCAGCACATCCCCGAGTGCGCAGTAAAGCAGAGGGCCCCGTAGTTGAAGGCTCAGGGGACGGCAGAGCACCTGGGAGCCAGGGCCTCAAGACGCTGCAGTATCCGCCAGGGCCACAGGCTGACCAGTATCCGCACCTCTTAGCTCCAGGGTTTCTCCCCACTGAGGCTGGTGCAGGGAACAGCAATAGCAGGGGCGGCCCAGGCCTGAGACTCCTGAGGGGGGCGGATCAGCACCCCTGCCTCTCACCCCTCTGTCCGAAGCTCTCAAGTGTGAGGTTCTGCTGGGCTCCTGGGAGCCCGAGCGTAAGTACCCAGGGGTAACCTGCCCTGTAACTCCCCCATCTAGCTTGGCCCTTCCTCTCCTGCCCACAGCTCCTGGAATCGCCTGCCAAGGAATAGCTCGCAGCCTACTCTGTTCCAGGGGCTATTCTGGGTCACCCAAACTACGATGAGGGCCATTCCTGATTCTCCTGTCAAGATTACTCTAGCAGTGAGAAGGGCACAGCAGGTTGGACGGACCCACTTCCCCTACTGCCAAGTGTGCGTCTGAGCAGGCCTTGTGTGCTGGGTGCAGTAACACATGAGACCATCCTGCTCATGGAGAAACGTTGGCCAAGAACATGCACACGATAAACGAATCCAGTGCAAGTGGGATGCATTCTCAAGAGATAGTTGGGAAAAGAACTCCCTCCCTCTCTCTCCTCCTCCCTCCCTAGGGCTTTAGAACTGAGCTACATCCCCAGTCCCTCTTTTAAATTTTTTATTTGGGGACAGAGTCTTGCTGAGTTGCTAAGTTGCCCAAGTTGGACTTGAACTTGTGATCCTCCTGCCACAGTCTCCCAGAGTTCTGAAATCACAGGTGTTTGCCACCACACCCAACAAGACAGCTTTGAGGGGTGCATGGCAGGTCATGCTAATAGCCTGGGGTCCTAGGAGGCCCCCTTCAAGCTGAGATCTCACAGACAGGGGAACCTGATCAGCGAAGAAGAACCTCTTCATGCTCAGAGCGGTCGCAGCAGACAGCCTGCGGCAGGAGCTGCAGGCAAATGCAAGGAATTGGACAAGGCAGAGAGGGAGCCTGGGCAGTGAGGGATGACAGGAAGGGGGGCCATGCTAGCCAATGCTGTTCTTGTTGAGCACATGTGAGTTGTGCACACCAGTGCATTCATTTGGGCATATGTATTCCAGCAGGAAATGTGCTTGGTCATTCTTCCCTCATTTCCCTTCCCTTGTTCTTTCTTCTCTAACAGTCTCCTTTCTACTTTCCTGCTCTTGCTCCCTCTCTCCATGAGAATAAACATGCAGTACCTGTCTTTCTAAGTCTGGTTTATTTTACTCTTCTTCCACCCATTTCCCCACAAATGACATTCTTTCATTCTTCTTCAGGGCCGAGTAATATTCCATTTTGTGTATCTGTCATGTTTTCTTATCTGGGCATCTATTCATGAGCATTTGGCTGCTTCTATGACTTATCTGTAGTGAATTACTGTTTCACATTTGACCAGTTTCCCTCTCCTCCACCCACTCTCTGATTATCAAGTAGCTGTTGCTCCACAAATCATCCCATACAGCAAGGTCCTTTTCCCTGGTCTCACTTTCAGCTTTCCTGGCAAGTAAAAGCTGTTGGCCAATGTGTGCACCACCCACCATACACTGTTGACCATTGATGTGCTTCATAAACATTAACTGACATCAATAATGCACAGGACCCTATCCAGGTCCCTGGAATCCCTGTGTGGGGAAGACTGACAGGAGCCCCAGTGAGCAGCCAGATGTCGGAGGGATGGGGAGGAGCCCCCTGGTGACATGCAGCAGAGCCAGGGGACACAGCGCCATTTGTATGAACAAAGGCTTCTACTCTTCCCACCCTGCGTTCAGAACAGGCGGGCCAAGGAGGAGTCCAGGGAGAGCTGCACATGGGATTTTAACTTTTCAAGTAGCTACTTTATTTTCTTAATATATAACTTTATTATCATTCACTAAACACACACATATACAAAAATTAAAATTATTCAAAGAAAAACAATGCAAGGGAAAAACTATAATAATATTCAAATATAATAGAACGCAACCAAAGCAAAACTGAAAAGTACTTAAACATTTTTCCATATAATTAAAAAAAATCTCAAGCATTAACAAGACATCAGAAGATGTGATTTGTTTTAGAAAGATTTTCAAAACTAATATTGAACAAACAGTGGTTTGGAAAAAAATTCTAATTAGCTAGTAGACTTCACATAGGCCAAAGTTTTGAAATTTAAATTTCAATATAGTCATGACATGTGATGGAAATATAATCTGAGAAATACGTTATTAGGCAATGAAAATCTGTGTGTATCGCAAAGTACCACACAGAGTGCTAACTTCTAAGCGCAAACTGAGAAGGAATACGTCAATCATCTGTGATGGCCCCTTGACATTATCCAAATACTCAGTTAAACTCGGGATACATGGGGCTACCACTGGCATAGCAGCACACTGTTGTACAGTAAACTCTTTTATGTAAGTAGGATTATGCTCTAAAGGATGAAAAGCACAGCCTGTTATGATAAGTACCTAAATCAGTAACACTCATTTATCACACTATCGAGTACTGTGTACTGTACATAGTTGTATGTGCTTCTTCTGGAAACACACCCTTCTCTCTTTTGATGTCAGTGACTCTTCCTTCCCAATCCACTGATGAGCTCCAGCCTAGTCTCTATCTACATCTCTTCCTATAGTTTTAAACACAATCTGTATACGGATTTTTTCCAGATTGCAACCTGTAACTTGATCTCTCCCCTTCCCCTCCTGCCACCCCTTCCCCTTTGAACCTTTTCTTCCCATTTCAAATTATCAATTATTCATTTTAATCATTTTAATCCTTAATTACACTTTCAGTTTCTCACACTAGAAAAACTATTGGTATTTACACATGTGTGTCCTATTTATTTCACTTAAGAGGATGGCCTCGATATGCATCCATTTAGCTATAAATGTCTCTAGTTTCTCGTTCTTTATGGCTGACTAGTACTCCATTTTATAAATAACCCACATCTTCTTTATCCAGTTTCCAGTTGATGGGCACTTGGGCTGTTTCCAAGCTTTAGCTATTACAAACTGTGCCGCTATGAACATGGGTGCACATATATCACTGTGGTATGATTCTTTTAATTCTTTGGGGAAGATACCCAGCAGGGAGATAGCTGGGTCAAATGGAACCTCTAAGCCTAGTTCTCTGAGGTATCTCCATACTGATTTCCACAGTGGTTGCACCAGACTACACTCCCACCAGCAGTGGAGAAGGGTTCCTTTCTCTCCACACCCCCACCAGCATTTGTTATTGGTTGACTTCTTGATAGCAGCCATTCTTTCTGGGGTGAGGTGGAATCTCAGTGTTGTTTTCATCTGCATCTCTCGAATAACCAATGATGCTGAACATTTTTTCATATATTTATTTGCTGCTTTTACTTCTTTTTCTGAGAAATGTCTGTTCATTCCAGATGCCCATTTTTTGAATTGGGTCTTTGAATTTGGTGGTTCTGATTTTTTCAGTTCTTTATATATTCTAGATAGTATCAAGTAGCTACTTTAAAAAAAGTAAAAAGAGGGCTGGGGATTTGGCTCAGTGGTTCCACTGCCTGCCTTGCAAGTGCAAGGTCCTGAGTTCAATCCCCAGTACCAAAATAAATAAATAAATAAATAAATAAAAAGAGATGAAATGAGTATTAGTGATACTGCTTACTGAACCCAGTCTGTCCAAAGTACAGCGGCCCCTTGCTACCCACAGGGAGCTGGCTCCATAACCCTCGAGGGTGCCTACCCCTTACACAGATGGCAAAACATATGCACATCACACACGCAGCCCCTCATACATGCCAGCTCCAGAGACACCAAAGGCCAGGAGTGCTGCGTGACCATCCACTATACTGTGTTACATGTTCAGCACAGAAGCAATGCTTTCTCTGAATGTCTTTGGTTGCCACTGCTTTCTCCCTGTGGAA